AAGGCTGAAAGAATTGGACATGTTTAGCCTTGAGAAAAGAAGATTGAGAGGTGATATGACAGCACTTTTCAAAGATTTGAAAGGCTGTCATACAGAGGGGCAAGATCTGTTCTTGATCATCTCAGAGTTCAGGACATGCAACAATGGGCTCAAGCTAAAGGAAGCCAGATTTCGGTTGAATATCAGGAAAAACTTCCCAACCATTAGAGCAGTACGAAAGTGGAATCAGTTACCTCAGGAGTTGGCGAGTGCTCCAATACTGGAGGCATTCAAGAAAAATTTAATCACCTGGCAGATATGTTTTGATTGTATTCCTCCATTGAGCAGGGGGTTGGAATTGATGGCCTTGTAGGCCTCTTCCAACTTCACTTTTCTATTATTCTATATTAAAATGGTAACTAAGATCAATAGAGTGGTGCCTTGCAAGACGAGCGCTTCGTTTTACGACGGAATTGCATAACGACAAAGTTTTTGTGATTGCAAAAGCGATCGCAAAACAATGTTTCCTATGGGGTTTTTTCGCTTTGCGATGATTGGTTCCCTGCTTCGCTAACCGATCATCGCAAAACGATGATTTTTGCACAGCTGATCGGCGGTTTCAAAATGGCCGCCGGGTTAAAAAAATGGCCACCCGCTGTTTTCTGGGACGGATTCCTCGCTGCACGGGCAGCGAAAATGGCCGCGCTATGGAGGATCTTCGCTGGACGGTGAGTTTCAAGCCCATAGGAATGCATTAATCAGGTTTTAATGCGTTTCTATGGGCTTTTAAAAATCATTTTATGATGTTTTCATTCTACAGCGATTTCGCTGGAACGAATTAACATAGTAATGAGAGGCACCACTGTATTAAAACAAATTTAAAACAACAGAACACAACAGTCTATTTAAAACCCCTCTCAGACCACCAGTCATTAAAGAAAAGCCTGCTTGAAAAGAAAGGTCTTTGCTTGCAGAAGGACAGCAAAGATGGGGCCAACCTAGTGTCCCAGGGGAGGGAGTTCCAGAGCCTGGAAGCAGCAACAGAGAAGGCCCTCTCCTATGTCCCCACCAAATGCGTCTCCTCTGATAATCTTAAAGTCCAGGTGGGCTCATAGAGGGACAGGTGGTCTTTTAGATAGCTTGGACTCAAACCGTTTAGGGCTTTATAGGTTAAAACCAACACTTTGAATTGTGCCCAGAAACAGATTGGAAGCCAATGAAGCTAAGAGAAACGTAGATAATCAGCTGGCAGATATGCTTTGATTGTATTCCTGCCCTGAGCAGGGGGTTGGACCTGATGGCCTTATAGGCCCCTTCCAAACTCACTATTTTATGATTCTATGAAAATTAGTAAAATTCAAATAAAGAATTAAACCTATGAAAATTTCTGGCTGGAATGTTACTGGCATTTCGTAATGACCAGATAGGCAGCATATAAATGGAATGAATGAATGAATGAATGAATGAATGAATGAATGAATGAATGAATGAATGAATAAATAAATAAATAAATAAATAAATAAATAAAATAAGCATTTTCATAACTTACATTGAATAATTGCAGCTCATGATGAGGTCCTAATGTATACCTTATTTGTTCAATCAGAAACGTGACCTGGCACACAACTCTAGCACCTCATCAATTATGTGTGGCAATTAATGCAAACTTCACACACACACACACACCAGCAGGGTTCTGGTCACTATTTCTTTATACAGGAAAAAAAAACAAGAAGACAATTTGGGCACACCCCTCCCCCTTTGGCCTTGTTGGTCAGAACTGCAGCACTCAGGACACTAGTGAATCTGTAATATGGTCTTTGAGTGCCATGGGCTTGCTCACCACGATGTACAGAATTGTAGATTTAGCACATTAATGTTCACCTTCTTTAATACTCCCAGGGTGAGATGCTGGGTAAAGCTGTGGAGGTGGAATCTGGGTGATGAGAGGTGGATGTTGAGGTATCTGTTGAATAATTGTGGCTGGTTGTTGAGGCAGCTTAGAAAAGAAGGAAGGTAAAAAAAGAATTGTTAGGGATCAAATTGTAGCAGCCAGTAGACTAATAATTTTAGACCAATACAGTGGTGCCCCGCATAGCAACGATAATCCGTTCTGCAAAAATCGTTGCTATACGGATTCATCGATATACGGAAATAAAAAGCCCATAGGAATGCATTAAAACCCATTTAAGTGAAAATCCTCCATACGGCTGTGATGATTTGTGTTTTTATGTGTATTAGAATGGGATATGTAGTCCTAAGATTGTCCCTATAGCATCCATCTTGATTTAAAGTCTGCTCTGTAGTAGGAAAGTTTTTCATGCTGTTTCAGAGAAGCTTCGCTCTCTGATTATCTCGTTGCTAAGATGAGCAGAGAGCAGAGACTTTCGTAGTCAAAATAATTCTGCCA